TATTTTAAGAGCCATGCTCGTTTGGAATGCATATGGCTGTATTTGATCATCTGTTGAGTAGTATACATATTTAATTCATCTAATTTGTATTGTATTAAGGACTGTATAATTAGAACCATTTCTGAATTGTTTAGACCAGCTGATTCATACTGGACCGTATTTGGACTGTGAGTATTTGGTTTTCTCAGACTTGTGTGAATACTCTTAGCTAAGCATTCAGTTATACTTATATTCAGTAGAGCAAAGTCTTAACTAGCTAAGGTTAATTCCGGTGATCATTTCAGGTTGCTCCATGAAGTTATTCTAGTAAGTAATATAGTTGCAATAAAGTCATTTTAAGAAGCTATTTCAGTAGTAGTTAAGTTTGATTAAAATACTAGCTGAGTGTTCTAGGGAACATAAAGGATGTAAATAGCCAAACTATGTAATCAGGGTGGTAGTTCGTATACTTGAGGTTACCTCATGAGGAGTATACTCAATCCAGTCTTTGCGTTTAATCTTGTCTGGGGTACGAATTATTAAAAGTGGAAAACTAAAATTTCAGCAAGTGTTTAGTCTTGTTTAAATTGGAGTTGTGGTTCATTTTGTCGAAAAGGGGCTGAGAGCCTATATTTAGGAGGTTTGGGCTTCAACGTGTGAACAAGGTGGCCTAGGTCCTATTTCACATTACATTCGTTTGGACCTGGGCCCAGGCCTGTGAATGGCTTGCCCTTGTGCTTATTTGGGTCTTATTTTTTTTAAAACGGGTTTCTTAAGTCATGTTAATTAATTAGACCCTTTTCTTTATTTCAGAGAGACAAGTAAAAAAAATAAAAAAAATCACCGTAGCTTTTAGGTTTGCCTTTTGAATGATAAAAATGAGATGAGCCTCGCTAAACAAACAGATAAATTACGGGGCCCTCATTAAATGTATATATAAAAATACTTAGATTTCGGGACGGGCCGTTTAGTGAATCTCACGGTTTTTCCCCAAAGTAATAACGCGCTAGTCTCTTTAGGTGCGTATTTTAATAATGTTACCTTCCTAAACTCGGGTGCGCATTTATGTGACCTAAATCCGAATCTCAACGATGTTAAAATATGTCAAAAACCACGGGTGCATTTATGTGACGTGGTTCAAGATTTGTTTTAATGGCGTTGCAATTTTCCTTAGAAATAAATAAAAAGCGGTTGAAGTTAAAATTTGCACATAGATTCAACATGTATTAAAGCCGAATATGACAGTTGAGTGACCGTTCTAGAACCACGGAACTCGGGAATGCCTAACACCTTCTCCCGGGTTAACAGAATTCCTTATCCGGATTTCTAGTTCACAGACTGTAATACAGAGTCAATTTTTTCCTCGATTCGAGATTCAACCGGTGACTTAGGACATCATAAATCTCCCAAGTGGAGACTCTGAATTAAATAAATAAATCCCGTTTCGATTGTCCTTTAATTGGAAAAACTCCCTCTACGCCCTTTTACGGGGGCATAGGTAAAAAAGGAGGTGTGACAGTAGGTATAGTGGTTGTGGTCTGGGATGGAAGAGTAAGGTCATGTCCTCGAGGGGTGTCGGGGTGAGAAGAGGGGTGGGGAAGGGGTTAGTGGATGGGACGAGAGGCAAGAAGGGTAAGGGGAAAGAGGGAGCTCGTAGATTGAGGATCGGATCATGGAACATATGAACGCTGACGGGTAAGTCTACTGAGCTGGCAAAGATTCTCCAGAAGAGAAAGGTTAATATAGCTTGTGTCCAGGAGACTAGGTGGGTAGGGTCGAAGGCGAGGAATGTGGACGAGTATAAGTTGTGGTACTCTGGAGTCGTGAGGGGTAAGAATGGAGTGGGTATCTTGGTGGATAGGGATCTTAGAGAGTCTGTGGTGGAGGTTAGGCGAGTGAATGATAGACTAGTATTTATTAAGTTGGTGATTGGTGAGTGCACCCTCAATGTAGTTAGTGCTTACGCGCCGTAAGCGGGCTTGGATGAGGAGGTTAAGAGGCATTTTTGGACGGGTTTGGACGAGATTGTGCGCAATATTCCACCTACTGAAAGGTTATTTATTGGAGGGGATTTTAATAGCCATATTGGGTCAGCTACTGGTGGTTATGGTGATATGCATGGCAGCTTTGGCCTTGGGGTTAGGAACGGAGGAGGTACTTCGCTGTTAGACTTCGCCAAGGCTTTCGAGCTGGTGATTGCGAACTCGTCTTTTTCGAAGAGGGAGGAGCATCTGGTTACTTTCTAAAGTTTGGTGGTTAAGACTCAGATTGATTACCTTCTCCTCAAAAGGTGTGATAGAGGTTTGTGCAAGGTTATCCCGGGAGAGACCCTCGCGACTCAGCATACGCTTTTAGTGATGGACGTCAGTATTATGATGAAGAGGAAGAATAGGTATGCTCGTAGCCGACCGAGGATTAGATGGGGAGCTTTAACCAAGGATAAAGCCCAGGAGTTGGATGGGAGGTTAGCCGCTATGAGAACTTGGAGGAGTAGTGGGGACGCGAGCACTATGTGGTCAATAACGGCAAACTATGTGAGGAAGGCGATAAGAAAGGTGCTAGGGATATCGAAGGGTTTTTACGGCAGGCACCAAGGCGACTGGTGGTGGAATGATATAGTCCAAGGTAAAGTGGGGGCGAAGAAGGTAGCATACGCGAAGTTGGCAGGGACCACAAGCGAGGAGGAAAGGAGAGCGAATAGAGAGAGGTACAAGGTGGCAAGGAAGGAGGCAAAGCTGGCAGTCATGGAGGCTAAGAATGCAGCGTTTGGCCGCCTATACAAGGAATTGGAGGAGAAAGGCAGGGACAGGAAGTTGTTTCGGTTGGCTAAAGCGAGGGAGAGGAAGGTCCAGGATCTGGACCAAGTAAGGTACATCAAAGATGAGGATGGTAGAGTATTGATGGGAGAGTCCCAGATTAAGCAGAGATGGCAGACGTACTTCTATGGTCTTCTAAACGATGAGGGGGACCGGGATATAGCGCTAGGTGACTTGGGGCATTCAGAGAGTCTCCGAGATTTTAGGTATTGCAGGCGCATTAAGGTGGAGGAGGTCGTGAGGGCTTTGCGCAAGATGAGTAGGGGTAGAACGACCGGGCCAGATGAAATCCCGGTTGAGTTTTGGAAGTGTGTGGGTAGAGCAGGATTGGAGTGGTTGACTGGGTTGTTCAATGTAATTTTTAGGACGAAGAGGATGCCAGAGGAGTGGAGGTCAAGTACAGTGGTACCGTTGTACAAGAACAAAGGTGATATCCAGTGTTGTAACAATTATAGGGGTATCAAGTTACTTAGCCATACCATGAAAGTCTGGGAGAGGGTGGTGGAGGTGAGGGTGAGGAAGACGATGTCTATATCCGACAATCAGTTTGGGTTCATGCCGGGTCGTTCCACTACGGAAGCTATCCACCTTATTAGGAGGTTGGTGGAGCAGTACAGGGATAGGAAGAAGGATCTACACATGGTGTTTATTGACTTGGAGAAAGCGTATGACAAAGTCCCCAGGGAGGTGCTTTGGAGATGTCTTGAGGCAAAGGGCGTGCCGATAGCCTACATAAGAGCAATTAAGGACATATATGATGGAGCTAAGACTAAGGTTAGGGTTGTGGGAGGCGACTCGGAGCATTTCCCGGTTGTTATGGGATTACACCAAGGCTCTACGCTTAGCCCGTTCTTATTTGCCTTGGTGATGGATGCATTGACACACTATATGCAAGGGGGTGTCCCATGGTGTATGTTATTTGCTGATGACATAGTTCTAATAGATGAGACGAGGGTCGGTGTTGACTAGAGATTGGAGGTTTGGAGACAGACCCTCGAGTCTAAGGGTTTCAAATTGAGCAGGTCTAAGACAGAGTACCTAGACTGCAAGTTTAGCGCTGAGTCGATGGAAGTAGGCAGTGAGGTTGGATCACAGGTCATCCCCAAGAGATATAGCTTCAAACATCTTGGGTCGATGATCCAGGGGGATGGAGAGATCGACGAGGATGTCACTCACCGTATAGGGGCGGGCTGGATGAAATGAAGGCTTGCATTGGGAGTCTTGTGTGACAAGAAAGTACCACCGTTACTCAAAGGTAAGTTTTATAGAGTTGTGGTTAGGCCGGTCATATTGTATGGGGCAGAGTGTTGGCTGGTTAAGAACTCCCATATCCAGAGGATGAAGGTAGCAGAGATGAGGATGTTGAGGTAGATGTGCGGGCACACTAGGATAGACAAGATTAAGAATGAGGATATTCAGAAGAAGGTGGGCGTGGCACCTGTGGATGACAAGATGCGGGAAGCGAGACTTAGATGGTTCGGCATGTGCGGAGGAGAAGCCTTGATGCTCCGGTAAGGAGGTGTGAGCGGTTAGCCGTGGTGGGTACGAGAAGAGGTATAAGGAGGCCTAAGAAGTATTGGGGAGAGGTGATCAGGCAGGACATGGTACGACTGCAGATTTCTGAGGACATGGCCCTTGATAGGAAGGTTTGGAGGTCAAGCATTAGGGTTGTAGGTTAGGGGGTAGTAGAGCTTTGAGTACTTCATACCGGGGGTGAGGTCGGGTTGGATTAGGGTTGATCTTAGATAGCTTGCAGTTTATGTTGAATCCACACTATCCTTGCTGTTTATCTTAGCCCCGGGCCTTAGTTACTGGTTACTGTTATTGCATGTCATTTATCTTTTGGTTGTTATGTTTCTGCTACTATTATGGTTTCTACTGGAGTTACTAATGAATTGTCTCCTTCTCTTTTTCTTTTTTCTGAGCCGAGGGTCTATCGGAAACAGCCTCTCTGCCCTATCAGGGTAGGGGTAATGTCTGCGTACACATTACCCTCCCCAGACCCCACTTTGTGGGATTTTTCTGGGTAATTGTTGTTGTTGTTGTAGTCTAGTCAATGTATTTCGAATATGAAATATATAGTTGTGGGTCCCAGAGAGCGTCTCAACGAATTAAATAGTCATGATCATTCTCTCTTGTTGCCAACCATATACTTATTTTATTCTTATCTCTTACTTTGGAAGTGTTTTTAGTACCGGCCTCTCTCTGGTAAGTTTACTAAAAGTAGAAAAAGACATAAGAGGGGTTCTTTCCTTTATGTCTTTTTACTATATATATAGAGTCCATCCACTGGCTGGAACTCAAAAGGGAAAGATAATACAGTAGCACAAAAGTCTTAACAAATCAATGCTTGCTCTTCATTTCCTTTGCCTGGTCAGCAAATTGTGTTTTAGCTAGCTAGGGTTTCCTTTGCCAGTCTTAAGTCTTTACTCTTAATTTAGTCTTGACCGACCAAATTTGCTTCCTTTTTTGTTCATCTTTCAGATCTGAGACATCGCAAAAAGGTGAGGGTTTTGTGTCATCCACTTCTTGATTTAGAACCTTTCTATTTTTGGAAACTTCCCATGAATTGCTAGGACTTCAAGATTTCTTTGGGTTCATTTTAATTAATTTGTTTTAGCCGAGATTTTTGACTTGAAATTGAACAGACGATTAAGTTGTCTCAAAAATGGTGAGGGGAAAAACTCAGATAAAAAGGATTGAAAATGCAACAAGCAGACAAGTGACTTTCTCTAAAAGGAGAAGTGGGCTTCTTAAGAAGGCATTTGAGCTCTCAGTTTTGTGTGATGCAGAAGTTAGCCTTATGGTTTTTTCTCAAAAAGGAAAGCTTTATGAGTTCTCAAGTTCCAGGTACATCTATTCTTTTGCTACATAATTAATAAAGAATAATCTTATTCTTCAACTTTTTGTTTTTAAATGTATATACAAAAGATCCTTACGAATTAACTAACCGCCCTTTAGGATTTAATGCAACAAGTACCAAGTACAATGATCACAACTTCACTGTGCAAAAGGGACCCTTCTTCTATTTCTAATTCCTTTGAGTCCAATAATCTTTCCTTCTAGTTTCTTTTGTGGATTTCTCTTCATTCTCCAACTATATCTTTCCCGTGGAAACAGCCTACTGTGTATAATAGACTCTTATGGTCGCCCCCGGACCCCGCAAATAGCGGGAGCTTAGTGCATCGAGTTGCCTTCGTACTATATCTTTCTCTCTTGCAATTTCCTCTTTCTTCTTTTGGTCCTCAAGGACCTATGATCGTGGTACATGAATTATTAATATACTGAATAATCTGTACACTTCTTGATTAAGCCGTATCTTGTACAAACTCTAGACAATTTTCTGTAAAATATGTAGCATACTGCTCTTCAAACAAGAAAGCCAATTTTGAAGTATGTGACAAGGTGCTATTTGTGCCTTTGTTTTTGGAATATAATATGATTATGCCTCAAGGGAAATTGTACTTTCTACACAATCGTTATTTCTAATACCCCACCCACTTTTTGCCTGTTTATATCACAACTTAGTGCTAAATAACCCCAGTGGAAATCAACTTCTGCTAAATATTTCCTTTCTCCAACAAAGCACTGATGTCATGGAAAAGTAAGGGAGTTTAACTCCTATAAACTGACGGATAGACCACCTAAATGTTAACATGTAACCAACCACTCATAAAAGTCAAATTAATTATCTTATTTTTGGTTAAAAGGAATTTTAATTTTCATTACTAAGTAGAAGCATTACAGATGCCCCATTGGGATGATCATTACTAAGACTATTAATCTAAATAATCGATCTAAATAACAAGATAAGTTACCAGCTATTGATAGTCAAAAAATTCCTTGTACATAGTACTCCTCTTATACTTACCAAATTTGAATTTTGTTGGGGTCCAGGAGCTTCACTAAAGTTAAATATCTTCTTTAACACATTGATTTTATTTCTTCACTGGTAGATATAACTGGTACATTTTGTCATAAAATATCAAGTTTTTATCTTAATTACCAACCTTCAGGTAACTTGCCTCATGTGTACGGAAATGTAATGCATTTAAATTTGCTTCTGTTCGTACACACCAAGTTTATCAGTCGCCACTATTCCTTGCAAGTAGTGTAACACTCTCTTTATAGCTTAAAAATGCACTTGCTTTGGTGCTTGTTTGAATCTGAACAATAAACTAGCAACAAACATAATGTCAGGTCTTGTTAAAATATGATATAGCAGGCTTCCAATCAAGCTCCTATAAAGTGAGATATTAGCTTTCTTGGCTCCATCATCTTTCCTTAACCTTTATTTGCTGCTAATGGTGTGACCACAGACCTGCAATTCGTTATTTTAAATTTGTGAAGATAAGAATACTTTTAGTATACTTCTTCCGAGATAAAAACCTCTTTTTTCAATTGAGAAACTTCAATGCGCACAAAATAATCTAGCTATCTAAGATCGCTCATTTCTAGGTTTGCATCATATCCTGCTTGAGTTTTGTTTACTGGAAAAACGCTACAATTGAATTTGTAACGTGGTTTATAGACACATGGATTAAATTGATCTAATTAAATAAAATAATGAAGAACATAAGCGAATAAAATAAGAATAATTGAGAAAAAAACAAGAATGGGCTCTAGCATATTTTTACCGAGATCAAGAATAATTGAAAAATCTTGACAACACATGTATAAAGCTCAATAGAATGAGAGAATATTTTTTAGTCTTTAGCTATCGGTATTTCCCCTCCTTTACAATAGAATGTAAGCTTCTATTTATGCTAGAGCTATGGGTTGCATTGTCTATCAATTATGCCTCATTAATCATTGATATTAATGCTACAATAAAACGTAATAAAAGGTAGTAAAGAATAATAAAGAGTAATAAAGGCTAATAATCTTGAATTGCTTCTTATTCGGTCATAAATTTGTATCCAGTGTCAATATCTTATCCGGCCACAAGTTTGTATCCGATGTGAACATAATTGAATCACTGCTAATTTATCGCCCTTGGTATATATTGCTTCCTAATTCACTCATCTTTTGAGACCGATTTTTACTGTATACAAATATTTGCATCATTTTCAGGTTATTTCCTATAAAAATCAAAGCATCCACATAGAGACAAACAATGAGAATGTTGTCGTTTTCTTGCTTCCAATTTCACTTTTCTGAAAATTATTTTTTTTAAAGTATGTATCAATTTTACTGTACTAGGCTCTTGGCACTTGCTTTTATGCATAAAGAACTTTTTTTAGCATATACACTCCCCCCCCCCCCCCC